ATTATTATGGAGAAATTTTAATATTTTTAATAATTTTATCGGAGGATTTTTTTTTTGTGACAGCGCTACACTGTCGCAAAAAAAAAAAGAAAATTTTATTATTTTTATTGATTTTGTTATAGGTTTTACTTTTTGCGACGACACTAAACTGTCGCAAAAAATAGAAATTTTATTATTTTTTTAATACTTTTTGTGACGGCAGTACACTGTCGCAAAAAAATAGAAATTTTTATATTTTTAATACTTTTTGCGACGGCACCACACCGTCGCAAAAACAATGTTCTTGCTGTTGCCAAAAAAAGACTATTAGCGACGGCATTTTTTGCCGTCTCAAATAACATTTTTAGCGACGGTAAAATAGTGCCGTCGCAAAAGGCAAAAATGCCGTCGCAAAACATTAGCGACGGCACTGTGCCGTCGCAAAAAGTCTTTTGCAACCCCCCCAGTTGCGACCCCTCTCTTACCGTCGCAAAAAGTCATTTGCCGTCGCAAAAAGTTTTTTGCGACGGCATTAGGAGTATTAGCGACGGTATTTTACCGTCGCAAAAAGCTGAAATTTTAGTAGTGATAAACTATTAATCATGATTAAAATCATTAGTTTTTTCATGAATTTGTAACAATTTTACGAAACCACCACTGGGTAGTAATTTGCCTTTTTTTTTTAAAAAAAAAAGAAAAGAAAAGAAAAGAAAAAAAAAGTATTAAAAAGTTGGAAAATAAATGTTTTTAGCTTTTGAGTATTAAGAAGTTATAATAAAAAGTAAGCTCTATATAATTATTTGAATATTATTCAATGAGCTGACCCATAAAACTATAAAAGTGGTTTAATTAAAAAAAAAAAAAAAGAACCTAGACAAGAAACCAATTTACTTTGTTTAGCAGAAATTAAGCAAAATATTCTTCTTTTTTTTTTTTTTAATATGATTTCATATCAATCAAATAGACTACATTTTTATACTAATTTTTTTGAGGGTCATTAAATGAGACATTTTTAAGGCTAACCCTTATATAAAATGAGATATCTAAATTTTTGAAAATATGGAATTGAGTTTGGGGGACCATTTCAAATGATTCCTTTTTTTTTTCTTTTTTTTTTTTTTTTTTTTATGATTCCTTTTTTTTTTCTTTTTTTTTTTTTGTCTTTTTTTGTCTTTTTTTGTAAATACATGCATATAAAAATAAAATTTTGCCAAAAAAATTGGAGAGGCTAAGACCGCCTCTACCCTCCCTCTTTGATTAAGAGATCAATAAATAGTCATTCTATTCTTGCCTAAAATCATTTCAGCAAACTAAACACTACTTAAAAACCTTTTCTAGAGGGAATTAACTGAGAAAATATTCAATCATTGTTGGCTACATATTTTGTATAAGCCAATTACAATTCGACGCGTGGCAAAATAAAGATAATATAGGAAGACTATTCAAGTCTTCGATCCTGATCGTACACGTGACAGTTAGTATTGGTTATTACGAGATCTGAGTAGCAGTGGATCAACAAAGAGATGCAAGGTGATGTGGCTTTAACGGTTACTCGCATTTCAAATTCAAATTTATGAGGGAAGCCTAACTGCAAGTAACGGCGTGATGGAGCTAATCTTGAGGCAACATGATCAGCGATCATGGAGGAGCAGTTCGACGGTTAGAAATGCAATTCGATGGTCATCCTTGAGTAGTATAAATAGCAGAGAAGGCTCCAAAAAAGCCCCCCAGACTAAGATCCAAAAAACCAGTCTTATTCTACTTATTTTACATTTCCAGTTTTACATTTCTAGTCTTACATTTCCTGTATTTTAAATTCCTGCACTGCACTTCGTTTATAGGAGTAGTTTCAAGTAGATTGTTGCTGTAAACCTCTACGAGGCTGAGTTTGGATCATTGTAAGTTTTTGTTCATTTTAATGAAATACTTCAACTGTTCTTCATTTAATTGTTATTTTGCTTAATTCTCCTAAATCAAGCCACCAGTAAAAGTCCTCTTCATTGAGGCCGAAAGAACTAAAATACAATCGTCTGATAATTGGTTAGAAATTAATTTTCTATAAGGACTGATTGATCCTTACTGGCACGCTCGCAATTACAATAATAAATTTCGAAAGCCAAAAAGCCAACATATATTTTTGGCATGCCCGGTGGGACGTCAAGTGTAATAAATGGAAAATGAATTGGATTTGTCCATTTCAAATAGCCTAGATGAAATTTATTGGCGTAAACAAGAAATTTTGGATCTTCAAGAAGAGATCCATTTTCTTGATGAAATAAATTTTCATCCCTTACAATATTATTTGGTGGAAGAAAAAAGAGACTATTTAATTGGAGAAATTCATCAACTTGATATGGAAATTCGCCAATGGAATGATGAGTTATCAACTCTCACTACCAAGTCTTTAACTGAGGCCTTAATGGCCAGATTTGGTGAATTTTTTTAGAATTTTTTCATGGTTAAAAATAGCAAAAGTAAAGAGTTGATTTCATCAATGGCTCGGGGGTTCAAGAATCCGTTTTTAAAGAGCCAAATTATGAAATTAACATAACGAAAGAGCATGTTCTTGAGCCAAATTTGGCTAAGAATGATGTTCCATGCATGGCTTGGGGGGTCTCAAAACCAATTTTTAGAGAGTCAAGTCATGAAAATAACATATCTGTGGGTGATTTTCATAAGCCATTAATGGCTAACATGGAAAAACAACCCACTTTACCAAATAATTATGAAAATTTATTCGGCAAAAGTCATGTTTTTAAAACAAACATGGTCAAAAATAATGAATAAGCCACCGCTCATGAATTCAAATTTTTTGACATTTTTCAAAATGTCAAAAAGTATGAATTTTCATGGTCACCCTATACCATGACTTTTGTTGTTCGAAATCCATTTTGGATTTGTGGATCACATCAAACGTTGACTTTGATGGAATGGCTAACAAATAATATTTCGTTATTGCAATATATTGAGCCAAAAATGTTGTTATTAGTTGATCTATAAAACCATCACCATTTGGTTTTGTGGTTACCTTCGAAGCATGTCTCAAGACACTTTGAAGTAGATTATTCATTGAAATATCATTTTTATAGCCATTAATGGCTAGTTAAAATGCCAAACTAATTTCATAATAATCCAACTCTTTGGATTTAGTTCGAAGAGAAGTCGTGAGCACTTTCGAAGGACGACTTTAATCCTTTAGTAACATATGTGACTTTCGAAGGGTGGTTTTGTCATCAATAAACACATTCGAAATGTAACATGGGACAAGAAAGCTTTCGAAATGTGTACCTCCCTTCAAATATATGTAAAATGGCAATTAATTAATTATCGAATAATGCTTATTTTTTGCATGATAATTAGTGGCTTTACTGATAACTATTTTTATAGCCATTTGTTACATGAAAATGTAACTAGTATTCTATAAAAGTTGGTTCGAAGAACAACGGCTTTGGTGTCTTCAGAGAATTAATAATTGGTTTAAAGCATAAAATTAATATTTTCATTAATTATGTGTGAACCAAAACATACAAAATTTGAATAACCACAATGTTGGCCAAAAGTTGCTTTGAAAGCCCTTTTGCCATAATTTTGTAAGCTTCGATGCACTCCATCTTGCATCAACAACAGTTTCAAAGAAAAAATAGTGATAGTTGTGAACCTTTGAAGCTTTGCTGAGTATTTCCAAGGATGTAATTCCTCATTTGTTGGCATTTTCGACCTTCGAATGATAATTTTAGTCCTCTATACCACCTTCGAAGCTGGTTATTTAGCATGTGTAACAGTTTGCTAAGGTGAATCATTGGCTTTGTCTTGAAAATATGTGGTTATCCTTCAAA